CGCAAAACCTTCGATATATTTTAACCAAGAATCTTGCTAGATTTATCGACGCATTGATCTATAAAAAATAGGATAGTTATCAGTGACACTAATTGCATATATGTAATAATCGTTTCTACGGATTGAAGAAATTTTCGTAAAATAAAAAATCTTAAATTAATACAAACAGCAACCTCGTAGGTAAATACCTGATATTTTGAAGACATAAAAGTCCGGCAACACGCACTGGATTGCTCCATAACCTTTTCAGAAATGAGAGGTTTCCTGTGTCCAGCAGAAGTACGTATACAAGCTGTAACTTTACTGTTTTTAACATCACAGAAAACATCATGGGCAATAATAATCCTCGACAAGTCCACGCAGCATTTATCAAATTATAGACTATTAACAAAAGCGCGATCGTCGAGCCGATATTGTCCGTGCAGATACGGTTGTGTAAGCTACAACGTCACCCTTATAATAATCCAGCTACGGCTAAGTTCCTATAGCAGCGTGGAGAGATTGCATGAGTAGAGGTCATAATTGCCTTGTTGTTTGGACCTAATCACTCATTTTGGTGAGCGCGGCTGCCTTTCTACTTAAATAAATTTACTATAGTTTAATGGGTTATGTATTTTACCGTATTTTTATAGAAAAAAAAATAAAAGAAAAAGAATAAGGGTGACAAACGAGTCCAAATGATGGTAAGTGGATATTCTGGCCTATAGATATCTCTATTTACCCTCGAAAATGCAGATGCGTTGTCACCCCTAAAGACAAAGATGGAATGCCTCGTATTTACTAGATTACTGTAAAAGGTATCCGGCTCTCTACACTCACCATACAAAACTATTTTATAACCATAATATAGCTGCACGTGGCACTACCACGTACAAATACATACCTATCTGCCTTAAATTCTTGCGAATTCTTAAACTAATTATAATTTACGTAATCTGAATTTGTTTGATTATGCTTATAAGTTGATTCAGTTTGATTCAATTAGATTTTGTACAATTTTATTAAATTTAATTTTAATTAACTGACATAAGTACTTTATTAAAATTGTGACTAATGTAACACTGATTGTGTTTAATTTGACTAAATTCGTAACTATTGTTGTATTTTTAATATATTGGTTTTATTATAGATTTCTTTCACAGTTTCCTACTCTACGCTCTGACATTTTTTATTTAATCTGTAATGTGTGCAATAGTAGTATGCACAGAACACAATTACTCTCTATATGTACTGAGAGGTAGTATGGTTCTCTGTTATCTGAAATGTAAAAAAGTGATAATAATATACATTGAATTATTGTTATTATTATTTTATTATAGCATCTCTGTTGTTTTGCATGCTTAAAGCGCAAAGCGCGTAGGTATGTTCTACTAGCACTTAAAAATGAAAATTCCAACGTGTTGTCGCATGATATCGTATCTAACAATCATATCGAACATGTAACTGGTGTAAAGATTTTTTGTAAGAAAGATAAATGATTGTTGAACTTATTTTTTTAAATTGTTCAATTGCTATTTTTACAAAAAAGCGGTTTTTAAACTCTTCAAATATCATATATGTGGGAAGCCATGGAATGTAACTGTCAGTTTTTATTTTGTTTTGTTTAGTTATAATTAATTTTTTTCGGCTGAGAAATAGCGAAATTGTCGGTGTTTTGAGCAGCCTTGTATTCGTTTATTTTAATAAATACAGTTTACCTCAATCCCAGCCACAGGGTACTTTTTTACTGCAAGCTCAGCCGCCGTCGTGAGTGTTCGTTTGTTTATAGCGATTTGTGCTGAAAAATATCGATCGTTTGAGTAATACAAAATATTCCAAAAACCAAATTTGATACATACTTGACCAAGGTAAGATATAATAATTATTTTTATAATCACAGATTTTTATTACAATATTTTGTGCCACTAAAAGTACGCAGGATTTAAATATAAATATAATTAAGATTGCGCTCGTAATGTTAGTTATGATGAGACCATACCCCGACTTGAAAGTGTACTTCGGTAATGCTACTGGAACTCCTCGAAGAGTAGTAATGGTAATAGGTGTGCTGAGTTTTGAACGAGCCCAGTTTTGTTAGTTATGATGAAACCTTACCTCCTTAACAGTGGCGGATTATCCTTAAGGCAAACTAGGCACGTGCCTAGGGGCGCAAAGTTAAAAAGACGCGCGAGAAGTTTTTAAACAAAAAAAAAATCATCGTACTTGATTAATCCTAAATCGCTCTTCATGGTCATAAAAGAGTCATCACATTTTTCATTTATGCCCTCCTATTAATGGTACTCGTATCCTAATTACTTTGCAATTCTTAAACTATATTATACATTATAATATAGTTTATTTTCAAAATGAGTATATTTAATTTATAATAAATATTAATATTATGGTCCCTAGAGGGGCGCCGATGAGGTGCTACGCTAGCTAGAAAGTGTACTTCGATGAAAGCTACTGAAACTTCTCGACGAGTAATAGGCGTGCTGAGTTTAGCCTCGTTTTGTTAATTATGATGAGACCTTACTTCCGGGCTCGAAAGAGTGATCTGAAGGTGTATTTCGATGACTGCTAATAGAACTCCTCGACGAGAAGTAATAGGTGCGCCGATTTTATGCTCGTTTTATTATACATGATGAAGCCTTATCTCCAGACTTTATATAGTGACTTGAAAGTAAACTTTTATGGCTGCTAATGAAACTCCTCGACGAGTAGTAATAGTTGTGCCGATTTTGGGCTCGTTTTGTTAGTTATGATGAGACCTTACCTCCAGATTTGATTGAGTGACTTGAAAGTGTACTTCGGTGACTGCTACTGGAACTCTTTAACGAATAGAACTACAACTTACTCTTTTTTTTTAATTTTTCACTATTATATGATCATTATGAGTCGTGCATTTTTAGATTTTCCAAACTTTTTTTTAATTGAAGTTTGACATAAAGTTATCGGAAAGTTGGAAGTATAGTAATAAGGTAATTAGTGAAAACTTATGTGTATTTAAACTACTTTAAAAAATTTAGGTATAATTATGTTATATGTAATTTTTTTAATGCGCTTGAGGCATGCTTTGTATGAAAGGTTATAAAATGAAATGTAGACAAAGGAAACGTGGCTAATGCGAATACAATTGCTGTGGAACATGTCTTTAACCACATCTCGCTAACAAGCGGGTGATATACTGAACTAAATACAGAAACCGTACGTTACAATATCGACTGTATAATCCACCATATTCGATGAAGAAATCGATTAATAAATAACACAGTTATTATAACAATGGTAATTTAACGGTGGTTGTTACGGCCTACGGCTGCCCCTGCAAAAGTAGGCTATCCCGGGGCCCAAGCAGGAATTCTACGGGCAGACGCAGGTCGGGCCTCCAAAGTGGCCACGTGGAAATACCCTATCACAATAAAGGGGAAGGCTAGTTAACGAGAAGGTACTTACCCGCTTCGAGAGCGGAGACTGTTCACCAGGATCTGCCCGGCTGATGAAAGTGTAGTGAGTGTAGGTGGTATTTGTGTGTGTCTGGGTGTAGGTTTCCTGGGCTAGATGACACGATGCTGTCCTGGAGGAGGTATTCTCCTGTGGAGCCCCCGGAACAATTCCCTTCTTGAAAGCACTACTTCAGTCTATTCACGTAATGGTACAGTCAAAAAAAGAACTTCAACGAAATCACTATATGATTTGCACAATTACTTTAAACGAAGCTAATAAATCCGTAAAGAACAACACGTGGTTCCGCCGACGACATAGGTACTAGCTCGACTCCCTTCGTGACGTGACAAAAATTAAGTAAGAAACAAAAAACTTTCGTTCCGATCGCAAAAATTTTACACTCAACGCCGTGACGTGTCCAGTCGACCGGCCCGAAAGGAATGTCGACGCGGGGGGGATTACAAGCCTTTTAATTTAATTAAAAATTATTTATTTCGGAACTAGTCCATATCACAATTCATAAATACACATCGAAATTAAAAAATTAAATCTAAGTTGCGATGTCAATTTTAAATGAATTACATAAAAAAATCACTTAAATTAATTTATTACAATTACTTAAATTCATATAAAAGACACAAACACAACAAATCAGATACACAGCTCTAACGTAATCTAAATTTAGGTTTAGATCCAGAGTGCTCGACATGCAGCCTGGTCCAGTGTCGCATTATAGGGCAATCCAGATCAACCCGCCAGGCGAACACTTGCATGTAGCCATTTGAGCCGCCCCGTATGCGGCGCATCAGGGACGCAACTCGCTTCCGAATGATCGTTGCGAATCCGTCTATATTTGCATCCACAAACATTCCCGATGCATTAGAGTAGCGTAGCAGCTTCATCAATGCTCTGAAGGCGTTATTGTATAGAATGCGTAGGGCGTCGTAAGATTTTTTTGAGTTTTTGACCCATAGGCTGCACGAGTAAAATAATTGGCAGAACGCTCTGAACAACGTAGTCTTTACTTCTGCAGTACAGCGCGCAAACCTACGTGCCAACATATTGGCCCGAACAGACAACGCCCTACGCTCCTTATCTATATCAATATCGTCTGAAAGCGTCTCAGTGATCCTGTGGCCCAAATATTTGAACTACGAGACTGCGAGGACAGTGTAAGTTTTTGATCCAGCCTTAAACACCATGAACTCGCTCTTGATGGCCTTGTATCTCAACCCATGGGCCTCCGCATAACGCTCGCAGATCGAAATTAGTTTTCGAAGGTCGCTGATCGATGGACTCAGCAGCACCATGTCGTCTGCATAACTGATGTTGTTTATAAGAACGCCATCAATCGAACATCCAACACCAGCGCTGCTAAGCTCACGGATCAGACGGTCAATGTACAGGTTGAAGAGATTCGGCGATGTTAACAACCCGCCTTGCCTTACGCCACACTCCAATCTGTACTCGTCCGATAGTGACCCCGACCACCGCACAAAATTGCTCTGATTCCCATACAAGTACTTCAGGAGGCTTATATACTCAGAGGAAAGGTCCATATCAATTGACATCTTTTACCATAACCTGTCATATGAAACTAAGTCCAATGCTTTAGACAGATCCAAGAAGCAGGCATAGACAGGTGTGCTTCTTTGAGTGTAGTACTGGACGGTATGCTTGAGATTCAATATAGCCATTTCGGTTGATAAACCGGGGCGAAATCCAAATTGTGCGTCAAGGAACTGTAGATGTTGTCTTAACTGAATATCAATGAGACCGTCCAGAACCTTAGCAATGTCTATTGCGAGTGAAATAGGCCTGTAATTACTTAATTTGGACGCGTCCCCCGTCTTGTTCTTTATTATAGGAACAACTACCGTTTTCGTCATAGTTTCAGGCAGGTAAGAATGGCTCATGCAGAAAGTAAACAACATTGCGAGCACTCTCGACATATGTACACCTGCATTCTGCAAGTGTTCTATGCTGAGTAAGTCATGGCCAGGGAATTTTCCTCGCTTCATGTTCCCCACTACCTGAGCAACATGTTTCGCAGTGAATCGAACAACCGGTTTCGCCAAACAAGTATCTCCTATCTCTGTCGCGTACTTCATAAGTCCCAATGTAGAATGCACCCTGAAATGCTCTCTGAATAAATTGGCAACTTGTTCGGCATCACTAACACCCTCTATATTCACTGGAACACTCGGCTTTGGATTCAATTTATAGGTCTCCTTCCAAAATTTACTAAAGTTTATTGTGGCATGATGTGATGCAAGAATGTCCATTTTTATTTCGGTTTCATTATTTCTACACCACTTGAGCTGACATTTAAACAAACTTCGCGAGTTTCGCATTTGTTCATATACTTGACCAGACGTAGTTTTACTTTAAACGACCCACTCATGGAACCGAAGCCTAGCCTCCTCATGTGCCTTTTTACAATGTTTATTCCACCCTGTCACATACCTTTTCTTCTTGTTTATACTTAAAAAAAATTTAAACATTCTGCCACTGCTTCTCTGAGTACGCTTACTACATTATAATAAAGTTTATCAATTATTTTTCTATGTTCTATATTATCACACATTCTATCTGCATAATCTTGAAAGTCACAAGGAAAATCGACATCACGCAACTTAGTTAAGCAGATGAGTAGATACCTATCTACCTGCTCTCTATCTCTTTCACCCCAGACAGCTCTATCCGGCACTGAGCCTCTTAATTGTACTTGAGGTACCAAAATATTGAGGTCACATAACAATTCGACTGCGAAATGATCGGAATATGACACCTCATATCGTATATTTGCGCCCAGAATAGTATCCTTTGCGACTTCAGTAGTGATTACATGATCCAACCACGACGTAGTTCCATAAGCGTTACTAAGGAATGTATATGTACCTCAATCTAGCCCAAAACATTCTATGTCTGCACAAGTCCACCTTTGTTCAGTACAGAACTACAAAAGCTCGTCGCCAAACAAAGCGCCTAGATCAGCGTAGAAATCGACTAGTATGTACACTGTATCTATACTACACGTCTCTATGATAGCACAAATCTCACCGAGGCAATTTACAAATGCTTCAAAATTGTCAGGTCTATCCGTTGGCATATACACCGACATCACCAATAATTCAAGATCATCTAACATTACTTTACAGCCAATATACGCTCACTGTCACAGGCTATGACCGAAACCGATGGGAAACACTTTTACGCCAAAGAAGAGCCACGCTGCCATACGGTCTGCCCTTCATCATACCCGATGTAGTATCCACTGAAGATTTCCCAGTGTACGTGTGTTATTAATACTGGTGTTTCACAAACCTGCGTGCTATCACCAACGCTGTTTCTTCTGCGTATTAATGATATGTTGCAAAGCGGTAACATACATTGCTATGCGGATGATAGCACTAATGATGCTCTATACACCAGCCGTGCCAATATTTCCCGGGAAAACGTAGCCGTGTACCGGAACAAACTTATGTCTAAAGTCAAGTATTTGCAGAACAAAGTCTTGGATTGGGGGCTACTAAATTTAGTCCAGTTCAATCCCCAGAAGACACAAGTTTGCGCGTTTACCGTTAAAAAGAACCACTTTGTCGTATCCTTTCAGTTTCAAGCCAGTCCCCTTGTTGCCTCAGCCAGTATCGGAATCCTCGGCGTCGATATATCGAGTGACGTGCAGTTTTGTAGTCACTTGGAAGAGAAGGCCAAATTGGCCTCTAAAAAGCTTAGCGTGCTCAGCAGAGCGGGACAGTGTGTCATGCCGGGACACCGCCTGCAACTTTACAAGGCACAGGTTCGGCCTCACATAGAATACTGTTCCATCCAACGCAGAGCGGCTCGAATCGTCGACAACTGAGCCCTTATCGATTGGCTCGATTCACTGGCGCTGCGAAGAGATGTTGCTTATTCTTTCGCATTAACATGCTCCCAAGAATTGTTCGGATTAATACCAGCCGCCAAATTTCACAAACGCACATTGCGGCAAAACTCCCAATACCATTCAAACCATCTGGATGCTTGGCGATTTACCACTGTTCGTTTCTCTAGAAGTTTTTTTCCGCGTACGATCTCTCTGTGGAATAATTTACCACGGGCGATATTTCCGGGCCGATACGACTTAGGGACCTTCAAGAAAAGAGCTTACTCCTTTTTAAAACGCCGACAAAACACTTGCAATTCCCTTGGTATTGCAGTTGTTCATGGGTGGCAGTAGTCACTTACTATCAGGTGAGCCGTATGCTCGTTTGATCCCTCTCCATTAAAAAAAAAACAAAATGATCATTTGTGCTTACAAAAACAGATCATACTTAATAAATCTTATATTTATTTAAAGAAAGTATGTCAGGAGCTGGTTTCTGAGTTAGGCAATAAAATGCCTGTATTGCAAATCATTAGATCCTCACCCCACGGAATAAACACGAGAATTATTAGTAATTTTTAGAATGTTACTGGTTTCGTAGAAGGTATGGTGATACTATAACGTATTGAAATGTATAAAATAAAAATGCGTTATCATCTGTGAGTAATAAGATTGAAGCCTGGTTACAAGTTAAAAATATTTTTCGGTTTTCACCACTCACCATACGTAACAGAACAACAATAAATTACTATTGCTTGCGTGAATTCTGTACAAGCGTGGACGGAAAGTCAAGACAACAAGCACAACACCAGCCTAAATTGAACGTTAATTTCTAAAAAAGAAAATTATTTTTAATTATCCTATTATTAGTTACAAGGACAAATTAAATTAACTATCATATTTATCACAATATGAAAGTTCAATTAAAGGAGAGATTAAACATCAATAACGATTACACACATCGCAATTGGCCTTTTAACCACGCTCGAATACAAAGTAATTGCGGAGGCTTAACGATGTAGTTCTGTGCTGCCTCGATCTGATTCAAACGAGCTGTTAGTTGCTGCGGCGCGCACCTGTCTCGCTATAGCGAAGGGTTGAAGAGTGAGACAATGGCGAAGGCGTTTACACATTACAATTACATCAGTAATTAGAATAATTGAGTAATTGTTGGTTTTTTTCACATGTTTCCTATATGCTCAATGAGGAGGGAAAATAAATTAAGGAGATCTCGTGAAATATTTCGAAGACTTGAGACGTTCACAATCGGACTGAGCTCCATTTATTAATACAGAATGTCAAAGTTCACTGATGAACAAAGACCTCCACACAGTTGCCCCACTATGGAGATATTTGTCATAGCTGCCACGGTTGGTAGACGAGTTGCAACCGCAGTTTTTTATCTTCTAGTTGTTATTAGGAATACGCTGCTGTCCATCTCCTTGATTGTTTTCCTTTTTCGCCTCTTACGACACCCACGGGATTATTTGGGGTAGCGGATATTCTTATACCGATATATACTACACAAGCACTAAGCTGCATTGCTACGAAGGAAATCCGATAAGGTTCTCACAAAAAAAAAGTATTTGAAATAATTATGTTCCATTTTCAAATTTATCAGATATCCTTTAGGTTTTGTGTAGTTGCCAGTGTTAAACGAATTAGTAAAGCGTACTACCTGCAACTATACTAGGCGCAGGTTCGGTCTCACATTGAATATTGTTCCCATCTCTGTGCCAGGGCTCCCCAGTGCCAGCTCTTTCTATTTGATCGCATCCAGCGCAAAACGGTTTGAATTGTCAGCGACCGATCTTTTTTTAATTGGCTTGACTCACTGGCACTGCGAAGAGATGTAGTATCTCTTTGCGTATTTTATCGCACCTACCATGGAGAGTGTTCTGAGGAATTGTTCGGACTAATTCCAGCCACTCAATTTCACCATCGCACATCGCGATAAAACTTGCTATACCATCAATACCATCTGAAAGATTGGCGGCCTAACACTGTACAATTTACAAGAAGTTTTCTTTCTCACACAACACTCTTGTGGAATCGATACCACCAGCAATTTTTCTGGACCGATACGACATAGGGACCTTCAAGAAAAGAGCGTACTCTTTTTAAAAGCTGGAAACGCACATTCCCTTTGTGTTGCAGTTATTCATGGCTGGCGGTCTACACTTACCATCAAGTGAGCCATATGCTCGCTTGCCCCCTCTTCTATAAAAAAATACTTATTTTGGCATGCCCCTGTAGTTTCTCTAAAAGGTAACTCCTAAATATATTAATTAATTAATCAACTAAAAAAAAGTATAGGCACAAGTTATAAAACATGTTCTGTTTTAAATAATGGTAAAATAATCATATTTTTTATAGGATAGGGTGACAAACGAGCACACAGTCCACCTGATGGTAAGTGGTTGCTGTGGCCCATAGACATCTACAATCTATCCTCGTTTGCGAATCAAAATGCAGATGCGGTGTCACCCGTGAGGATTAAAATAGAATGCCTCTTTTCCAGTAAAAAGGGTCTCCGGTTCTCTACACACACCATAAGAAGCACAGCAGTTTTAAGCTGCTATTTTACGCTGGTATTCTGTGAGAGCGTGGTCCTTCCCCGGTCGAGCCGACCCATTTGTGCTACAATTATACTACTAATATAGCTGCAGCATGGCTCTACCACGTATAAATCATTATCCTTATATATATTTATCCTTATACTCAGTTATATTAGACCTCTAATTTTATGTTGAATCTAAACCCAATGAAAGGCCGATTTGTGTCTACGTTTAAATACGCAAATATGTCGTACATTATACGCTAGGATGATGGCTACACACAAGCTTCATTTACATATACTCGTACGATATTAGTTCAGTATTCACACAATATACTCGCGGAAGAGGTTAATTTTTGTTAATTTCCTTAAGATAACCTCATCATTACTCAGACAATTAAATTAACGGCTATCGAATGCACTACTGAACATAAGCCTCTCCCTCGCAAGCATTTTGATAACCG